CTACACATCCCGATAACCAATGAAAGCAATCTCCGAACGAGATTTCTCCTAGCACTTGACCAATCAATTGAGTTCCCAAACCAAACAGAAGGTTTTTGACGATTGGTTCCTGATATGTTGGGAGAGTTGAACACGCGGTGTGCGTGAAAAGTAGAATGAGGCGTAACCTGGGACCTACTTTCTGAAACCTTCCCCAAAAGCTACTTTCAGAGTTACTTCGAACCAACATTCGCACCCCTGATTTTTTCGGAGCCGGGCCCGTGGGGGCGTCTATGGCGATGCAAAAGTGGGCCCGCGGGGGCCTCTATGGCGACGGGAAAGCGGGCCCGCGGGGGCCTCTATGGCGACGCGAAAGCGGGCCCGCGGGGGCCTCTATGGTGACATCGCAAAAATCATGAGTCTGTTGTAAATGGTCTAGTCTACTAAGGCTCTTTTTCCAATGGTTTCTGAGCATCATAACTAGTTGTTTACTTCATGTGCCAGATCATGGGGGAAAGTTGGTGTTGACCGATATAGTCTATGCGAAAGCGATTAAGAACTCAACTACAAGCTTCAACTTGGCAACACTTAATTTCCCTTAAGGCCCTCCGAGTGTGACAGCTTGTCACCTAGGGTGTTAGGGGTGATCTCTGCGTTCCTCAGTTGTTTGCTCGTGTTCACACTACTTGCGCATTCACGGGGAAGTTTTGGCAAGAGTTTCACAAGCAATGATTGACAACAATGGTACACAATGCAAAGCAACAGTAGACTCCATCAGATGCCAGCAAGCATGCAGGTCGACTCCCAGCGCAGCACGGTCGACCGCGTTCCAGCACTGCATGGTTGACCGCGTTCCAGCAGTGCAAAGTCGTGGTCTGCCAACGCTGCAAGTCGAAGGCGTGACAACGCTGCTGCAAGGCGGCTGCTCCGCAGGTGCTCGGAGCTGGTGGCGTGCTGTGCCTCGTCACATTCACAGCGCAGATGCCAAGCTGACCATGTGCCTACGACTGCACCTGATCCTCCACATCGACCTCGGGATACCACACCGAGGTCGGCTTCGCAATAACCTCCTGGGCGACTCTTGCGCACCCCGCAGCGCCCGTCGCCTGGGTAACTGTGTCGACCGGGCAACCAGGTCGGCGTCTAGGCGCCCAGGACGCCGTCCAGACGCCCAGGTCGGCGTCCAGGCGCCCAGGACGCCGTCCAGACGCCCAAGTCCACGTCCAAGCGCCCAGGATGGCGTCGCCCACTGCAGCAGGTTGGCTGCGCTCCCCGCACACCCGACAACGAAGTCGGCTCCGCCCAAGCCAGGACGCGGCCAACACACAACTCCCGTTGACAATGGATTGGGCAGAAATAATGAATCAAAACAAACATGTTCACCCAAAAAGGCACAAGTTTCAACCCTAATTTGTATACCATGTTTGAATCAAACATGTAAAACTAATTTGGGCAGAAAAAGACGAGTTCCATCCGTAGACATCTGGTCTGGATCCCCCACACCTCCTTCACATTCGAACTTTTTGTGTAAGCTTTTGCAAGTCACGCAAAAACTTTTTGCAACACCCCCTTCACGATAGTGTCCACATTCTTTCTTACTATGAGCACGAATTATTGTCTTTTGCCACTTGAATGTTCGATCAAATCACTTTCCCACTATATCGAACTTTCAGGCATGCGTCTCTACTGCGACATCATACAATTTCGCGAGTACTGCAACATCTTAACACTTGGGTTGTTAAACACTGTTTCAGTAAGCCATGTTTGACTTTGGCTTTTGCTCCCGTGCAGGTTGGGGGGGAGAAATGGAGGAAGGAGGGTCAATCATGATAGCTTTCTTTGTTGCTGTGCGTGCCGCTGTGCGCTCATGCTATCTGCTGCTCAACTCAAAGCGCTCTCCATCCTCATTTTCATTCCATGGCCTCCCTTCTTCCCCTCTTTCTCCCGTCCCCCGTTCCCTACACCACACCCGCCCTTCCCTTCCCCAGGTTCTCCCAAACACCACCCTTGATACCCCTCTCCTCACCACTCACTTGACTTGTCGAGTGTGTTGATGCAACGGAATTGCATACAGCATCGTAAGAGGGAGCACGAAGGAGGAAAACAAAGAACAACACTCACGCATGTACCAAATTGCGTAATCTGGTGCCAGTGGCAGAAGGAATGGAGCCACTGAACTGATTGTTGTTGAGATACTTGATGATAATATGAACAGCAAGCCTGAGAAAGTAGGTTGATGCAATCACAACGGTATCGACCTGGCGTCAAAATGTCATGCCACACCAATACATGAAACTCTTAGATCGAGACATGAGCGCACTGATGCCGAGCCGTAATTCGACTAACCAAGCCTTGTTTTTGCCTTTTTTTTGTTTTTTTTCCTTGCATCCGATATCAACCCCGAGTCATGTTAAGAAAAAAATACTGGCAGCCATGGTTAACGAGAGATTTCGTAATGATACATTGAGTAAATCTGAGTGCGGCGGCGTAGTGTTGGTTTGGGTGAAACCCCAACTGAACCTGGGAAGTTCATTCTAGGAATAAACTTCAAAATGAACCTAAACTGAACCTGAAACAAAACTAAACGCTAAAACTGGCCGTAAGGTTTTATAAAGCCAGAATCACATACATAGCAAAAACTGGTGTAACAAGTGGAGTAAGGCTTGACAACCCTGTGGCTCGCATCGGTCGAGGATAACAACCAACACAGCCTGTTCTTTGTCCTGGACAAGCTTTCAGAAACCGGAAGCTCCTAGAAAGTAGGAAGACAAAGGGAGAAAGAGGAGGAGGAGGAGGAGGAGGAGGAGGAGGAGGAGGAGGAGGAGGAGGAGGAGGAGGAGGAGGAGGAGGAGGAGGAGAAGGAGGAGGAGGAGGAGGAGAAGGAGGAGGAGAAGGAAGATAAAAGTAGGAGCAGCGTGAGGAAGCAGATGATAGAAGTGGGGTTAAGGAGGAGCAAAACAAAAGGGGGGGGGGGGGGGGGGTGGGGGGGGAGCTTGGTATCACTGGAAAGCCCACGAAAAGACGATAAGGCATGGTTGCCATGTAACTATTCTTCATATATTGGTGTTTGCCGTTTTGGCGAGCTCTTAAGTCACTTGATTCTTGAAGCCAAGGCTCTGGCTCTTCATCATAAATTCCTCCTTGAGTTCTTCAAGACTTGCTGCACACACGTGCGACACGCTGAACGTTTGACGCACGAAAAAAATAGAAAACGCACACGACACGCAAACGACGACGTGACACGCGACTAGCGATAACTCGCTATTGACTCGATACACACATTTGACATCGTGACTCATCTTTCACACACTATTTCAACCATGAAATATGTATGATCTCATGTCGTCATACCATTCCATGAACACACGCATGCACGCACAAGGACAACAAGCCGAGTGCAAACCATAGGATCGCACCAACATTTGCTGCGCATGTGGAGTGTGAGCTGCTGCTGCTGTTCATGCGGCAGTGGCGCATGCGGCTGCTGCTGCGTGTGTGTTTTCTGCGCGCATGTGGCGGCAGCTGCGTGAGCGACTGCAGCGCGTGCGGCTGCTGCTGCGTGCGCGGCTGCTGCAGTGTGCGCGCGGCTGCAGCTATGCGTGAGCAGCTGCTGTATGGTGCGTGGCTGCTTCGTGCGTCTGCTCGTGCGCTGCCTACGCGTGCGTGAGTGGCTGCAGTCGCGTGCGCGCGCACGGGGGGCTATGCGAGGCTCGAATCAAGGGCCGCAGAGGCCTTGCGGGGCGCAAATTAAGGGGCATACGGGGTGCGAATCGAAAAGCAGTCGGGGCGCGAAACAAGGGTTTTTGGGGGCGCAAAACGAGGGACCCGCGGGGGTCGACTTTGGGGTGAATAGGGGGGACCCACGGGGGTCGTGAGAGAGGCAAATCCGAGGACCTGCCGGGGGTCTTCCTAAGGGGCGGTTCGGGAGGCTGCCGGCATGCGCGCTAAGGAAGGTGGGACGGACGGAGCTAGGGAGAACGGTGGGTTAGGTTCCTAGGAACAAACTAGCAATGATACCAACTCAAAGTAGCACTTAGCGGAATGAGGTCTCACTAGCGAGAGAATGGTACAACTAGAATGCTACAGTTTGACACTCGCAACCCAACAAAAACTAACAAGCTGTACCATAACTTGACACTATGCTCTACTGGAATCTAGAGTATGACAGGGAATGGAGAATACGACGATGATCGGAAGGTGTGCTCCGAGGTGCTAGGCAACACTATCTTCCTCCTTCGGAAATACCCACGTATAGTGGGTTGTGAATTCCGAACCTCTCAAACATAGAAGCTTCCTTTTCGCACTCTTCCGCTCCCCTCATCTGTCTCGGGGATCTCGCTAGCTTCCGATGCCCTGTGCGTCTTGCTCACATCGAGGACATAGTAGAAGGCCGTGCACGTGGTAGTTGCGGTGCTCCCCAACTGAATCACTTGACCTGAGGCATGGCTGGCTGCAGTTAACGACCTAAAACCCACTGCGGGGGTGATATTTTGGAATATAAACTCCTGTTACCATCACTGCATTGCAAAAAAAAATATAGTTTTCTGGGCAAGACTTCACAGCCCCATCCTTGCTCTCCTAACCCTTTCCCTCGAGCCACCCATCCCTACGCAACTGTGCCCAACCGTTCAGCCCTCATTTGTCACTGGGACGCTAGACAATGCCAGGGCAACACCTCAAGTCAAGGTGCATGCTCCGATGAAACCACGTGTGCGAAGTGTTTGAAGCAGTTGGTAATGCAATGAAGAACATGGGATGAAGAATTAGGTGGCAGACTTGCATTAAGGAAACAACGTAGAGTAGGCCCATAATTTGCTAAAGACAAACATGAAGGTATCTGATCAAGGAACGCAAATATAATTTCGATCCACAGTCTACGAGCATGTATTTCCATTGTATTCATAAAACTTTGTGACCGTTCTTGGCTGAGCTCCACTGAAGAAGCTGAAAGCACCCGCGCATGTCAGAGACAGTGACTTTGCCTTGTTCCTGCCCAACTTGCAGCTGTGAGCACTGAAGGACTAGTGCTCTGCCTTGAGGCACACCTGAAAAAGGAGGTGCATGCACACAGCAAGAGAGAAGGTGAAGAACTGGAAAAAGAAACAGGATCTCACACTGCTGGTATAGTTTCTGGCCTCCCACCCCTCACCTGCACGCTGGTCACGCTGGAAACAGTGGAGCTGGTCGCATGGATGGTGCGAGGGCAGATGAGGCCGGGATTGTTGCGGTAGAGCTCAATCCAGGGGCCCGAACCCACGGACGCGTCCCCACTTAAAGGGCCCACGGAATCATCCTCACTAGACTCCATGCCCTGCAGCAACAGGTCCTCGCACGTGTCCTGTGCTGTGAGCATGCCGTACTGCAAGCACCGAGGAACGGTGAAGGCGAAGGTGGCGTTGCGCTCGAGGCACAGAGAGTGGCCCGCCTTAATGGGCTGGGAGCAGTTCAGTCCGGGATTGAGGGAGGCAAGCTCAGTTTCTGCGAGTCCAATCTGGGCGGTGATAGAGGAGCAGGTGTCACCCTGGGGGGTTGAGTGAGGGAAGAGAAGGTAAGAGATAGGTTGGGGGAATTTTATGGTATGGGGGAGTGGTAAAGTAGCTGAATCTCTGTAAAATATGTATGCTGCTCCGTGGACAATCACAACATAACAAAATGTCATGTGTTGCGTGTATGTTGAGGAGAGGAGATGCATGGTGGATGGTTCTTCTTAGGCATGAGGTTTACAAGAAAACAGTTCATTTTTGTAAGACCTTGACTCTCACATTGAGGACATAGTAGAAGGCAGTGCACGGGGTGGTGGGGGTGCTCCCCAGCCGAATTATTTTGCCCTTAGGCAAAGGCTGGCTGCAGTTAATGCCCTGGAACACAGCGGAGGGTTGATGTGAGGGATCTGAATGCCTGCTACCATTACTCCACTGCAAGAAAAGTACAGTTGTTTGGACAAGATATCACAGCCCCATCTTTATTCTTCAAACCCTTGCCCACCAGTCACCCATCCTTAGGCAACCGTGCCTAATGATTCAGACCCCTTACCATGCTTTGCACTGGAACGCTAGCCAATGCAAGGCCAACAGCAGGAAAGACATCAGAGCACCACCAGTTGGCACCAGTGATATTCAAGGTGGAGGTTGTGGTGTTGGCTGGAGGAAGGAAAGAAGGGGCAAGCAGCGAAGGGAAGTCACAGACAGACAGAAGATGAGTTTATGATGACGTCATGCCAGATTGAAATGGACAGTGCGTTCTAATTAGCAAATGGACCCATCAAATTATCAAATTGCTTAAAATGCATCCGCCTGATAAGTGAAGAGCGTCTCATGAGTAGATGAGGCCAAAATGGTAGCACCTGGGTCGCAGGTGGGGGAGTTGTCAACGGTTCTGCTTTCAACGTAGTTGGGCGGGCAGATGCAGGAGTAGGCGCCCTTGCCATCGTTGATGCATGTGCCCGCAGCGCAGGGGTTGATAGAGTACGAACTGCACACGTCGACTGTTGGGTTGACAGTGGGTTGGATACGTTGGTGAAGGATGGGTTATCCAAGATGAAGCTAAAAATGGAAGTGATATGTCTATGCTACAAAATGTACATTATTATCACAAAATGCCGTAGATGCATCGGCACAGTAAACTTTCAAACCAAGATCAGTGGAATGGGGGTCCAAGACACATGCTGAGCATAAGTAAGAATCACTCACGATATGCACATGTGGTGGAGCCAAATCCATTCGCCACCTCAACAAAAGGCTGCTTGGCCTCGTTGGGAATGGTGCAGTTGCAGATGCTGCTCTTGGTTCTCGTGTTCACGAGGCATGTGAAGCGACCGCAAGGGTTCATAGTTGGCTGCAGATCGCCATCTCTCTTGAAGCTCTTCTGGCCACAAGGGTCCTTGGAAACTGGAAGGTGGGTAGAAAGGACAGGAAAGGTACTGCGATACGATTCACACGACAATCAAGAAAGTGAGCGATTTAAGGTATAGTGAGAGTATGTATGCTGAGGAACTGGATCAGGCACCCTCTCCTTTGAAGTGGATGCAATGGGGTAAAGCACCACCAATGTCAAGATATAAGGAGGTACTCACTCTTGACAATGGGATAGATGCCAGGCAGCACGTTGATGCCACACACGCCATTCGCTCCCTGAATGTCCATGCGCATGTGGCCCCGGTCGCCCCACTCCACTCCCCACGAGTTGCGGATGATCCAAAATGGCACATCCATGGGGCTTTGGCGGGCATTAGTTGTTGAAACGAGGTACCCAACAATGAGTACAGCATGGTTAAGGTTGCCGGTATAGCAGGTAGGATCCTGATACTTCAACGTCTGGGCAGAAGAGTGAGGTGTACAGGAAGACACAGATACAGGTACATGAGTCACGCAGCCACCTGTATGGGTTCAATATGGCACCTGTGATGACAATAAAGCTCCCCACGAGTTGCGGATGATCCAAAACGGCAGATCCATCGGGCTTTGGCGGGTATTAGTTGTTGAGACGAGGTACCCAACAATGAGTACAGCATGGTTCAGGTTGCCAGTAAAGCAGGTAGGATCCTGATACTTCATGGTCTGGGCAAGGGAGTGACGTGAAGGTTACAGAAAGACACAGATACAAGTACTTGAGTCAGGCAGCCACCTGTATGGGTTCGATATGGCAATTGTGATGAGAATAAAGCAGTAGTATCATTCAAAGCTAATATCAAGTTTCCATAAGAGCCATCAGCTACTTAGTGATGGAACAGGACGCCCTCACCACAAGACATGTTCTCAAGGACTGTCAGCAATCACGAGAAAGCCCACAAGAATGCATGATTAGGATGATCATACGATCAGTACCCACCCCGTCGTATTCGATGAACGTGGCAGCAGACGCCTCGATATGAACCACCACTGGCTGCCGCTGCACTGCCAGCAGGAGTCCCACATACCCCTTGAACCGCGTGCGCTCAAAACCCTGAATAGGGAACTTTGTTGGCTGCGGATCAAGAACACACAAGTAGTTGGAAGTCAATGGACAAACTTAGAAGAAGACAAAACGTCGCAAGGAGGGAGACAATCATAGTGTATGTACTGGCGAGTAGCATCTCGATATCTCTATCTCTCAGGCATATATTTTTTCCTACCCGCTTGCCATCTGTTGTGAGGCCACCACGGGGAAGGGTGAGAAGCTTTGCAAAGGCCACGGCAGGAGAGCCCCCTGCCATGCATTTGGCTGCTGGAGAAGTGAGCCCCATGGCTGCAAAGAGTGAGTCCACTGACAGCTGCGGTGCCTGTTGATTCAATGCAATGCCGTATGCTGCTTCCACACTCGCCACCACCGCATACGCCCAGCTTGCATCTGAAAAGGGTGGAAGGAGGTGCAGGTAGGGCTTCAGAAGGATCCATTCCTAACAGAATGCAAACGATTCTGTTTACTAGCCTCTCTCATCCGTAATAACCCAGTCACACATAAGTCACAAAACATCACAGATATGATATGCCCACACCTGCAAATTCTGGTATTTTTCTCATCCACACTCACTGCAGTCCTTCTGGTTCTTGACCGGCCAGCCGAGGAAGGGCATGGAGTCCCAGGAGTGGGAGCCGCTGACTTGCCACGGGTCGAGCTGGTTGGCGGACACTCGGTAGTCGGCACTCATGTACCGCATGAAGGGACTGGCTCCCACTGGCGCATACGACGCCACAGAGAGAGTCAGGCCAAAAGCTGGATATAGCACAAGATTTGGGCAGACAAAGTGGTGGAGATGGGAAGGGATGTGGGCGCATGCGCACATATGGATGTGTTTCTCTGTCTGGTTTGTTCTTAAGATAGAATGGTGGTGAAAGAGAGAGTGCGAGAGCGCTTTTTATGTACCTCATCAACAATGGGATTGTTCAATACTGGGGCAAGAAAAAAAGACATGAATGATATTTATGTGGAGCTCATTGAGCTTTGATGTACGGGGATACTGTGTTGAAGCAGGCATACATATTCCCATCCTCCATGCCCTTTTTACCTGGAGTGATGTTTACGGGATCCGGTGAGGCAGGAAGGCCTGCATGGACATATTAGGAGCACGAAGAGACCATGGCGATGATGTGGTGTTGAGATATTATAGGAAGCATACTAGGAAGCACTCAACAGGTTGAGGCAGGATGACCACAACCATCGCACTGTTACAGACCAAGAGCCACAGCCGTGGGCACGGACAACCCATGGATAGTAGTCGCTAGCAACATGTGGTTATCCTAGTTAAAACCAACCATCATGATCATGAAATATCACCATCATCACCATCACTATCATCATCACCATCACTATCACCATCATAATCACCATCACCATCATAATCACCATCACTATCACCATCACCATCACCATCATCATCATCATCATCATCATCATCATCATCATCATCATCATCACCATCACCATCATCATCACCATCATCATAACCATCATCATAATCATCATAATCATAATCATCATCATCATCATCATCATCATCATCATCATCATCATCATCATCATTGTTGTTAGGTACTTATTTTGCTTTAATTATGCTGAAGGTTCACTAGTTTGTTTTATGGTTTGTATGTATTTGCTTACATTATACTAGTGTAGACAATAGGGGTTGGGTTATATTAGTTATAGGGTGCCCCCTGAGTGACTTTATCAAGTGCTAGGCACCCCAAATTCGGCTTTGGGGCACCCCAGCACGTTTCCCAACCTTGGGGACGCGGCTCCAGCCTGGACCCACGAATTTCAACATTGGAAACGCGGCTCCAGCTTGGAATTCGCGTTTCCAATTCGTGGAATCGCGGTTCCACTAGAGGGGGCGCTTCCAGGCCCACTTTGAGGGTCCCTCACGTCCCCATCTTGACTGTGGGCGACTTGAGCACCCATTTGGCCACCCCAAGTCCCTTGGGTACCAAATTCCTCACCTGGACCAGCCCAAGTCGCCTCCAAGCTAGCTCTCTTCACTTTCTGCCTATTTTAGCTTTTGTTTTGCTTGTATTCATCACTTCAGTTAACTTTCTGTTTGTAGACCCTTTTCAACATTTCAGAACCAGCTTCTCCTAGTGCACATAGGTCTGATTTTCTACAATCATCATCATCATGATCATCATCATCATCATCATCATCATCATCATCATCATCATCATCATCATCATCATCTTCATCATCATCTCATCGTCATCATCATCACCAAAACTATCATGATTACCATCATGGGGCAGTCCTTACCTGTGTGCACTGCCGACTTTAGGATGACTTGCATCTGGAAGGCCTTCACAGTGGTGGACGCCACGAACCCAAAGAAGAACGCCGTCTGCTCTGCTCCAGTTTGCAGCACCTCACACAGCACCAGCCTCCTCTCCAACAGCGGCTGCGCTGGCTTCACCTCCGTGGCAGCCAGGAACACCTGGATGGTGCCGGGCTCCCCAGGCTCATAGTCCACCCACGCTGTGTATGCCTTCTTGTTTTTCAGTACGAATGGCGGATTCACAGCGACTAACGACCTGTCCTGGCCTCGTACATTCAGCCCCACGTGCTGGCCGCTTATGTCACCATGCTCCTTGTTCGTCAGAGTGTCGAACTCAATCGCCATGCTCCTGTTGTCCATTCCACCATAACCCACACCGGAGCCTTTCCCCACCTGGTTCGTTGCCGAGACGACAAAGGCAAAGCCGTTGTGGCCCAAGAAAAAGGTTGTTTGAGCTGAAAGGACAAAGGTGAAGGTGACATGGAAAGCCAGCTGCACCCCACACCCCGTACACAAACAGAGTCACCAGATCTGCGGTGAAGACCCCCCTTGTCTCCGCTTTGGTCCCCTTGGTGAGCACAGTTGCTGGCGGAAGAATTGTACGGCTTACACCTTCGGCTGCGTACAAGCAGGGGGCATGAGAAAACCTTTATTAGGACCAACACTGAGAATGAAAGGGAAGTGACAATTTCCAGCAATGGAGGGTGCTATTGATGTGAGTTTGCATGAGCATTAGTTAGCATTCTTCGCATAGGAAAAAGAAGCACTAGTGCGAAGAATGAGATATGCTATCCAACAGAGCATGCTAAGCACTAGTGAAAAAAAAGCTATGCTCTGTCGCTATCATCCAACAGAGCATAGCGCAAAGCAGGATATGTCACGAGGGGGATGAGATGCAGCAGTCTAGTACACGGGCACATGTTTTAAAGGCAGTAGGAGAGCATAAGCAGTGCAGTGTATGGATGGATAATGCACTGAGGTGCCACCACACCACAGGGCACCTTCATGGTACCCGTGTGATAGGGCCCATGTGATCTCATAATGATTTCCAGAATGGGAAAGCTTCTTACGTTTAGTCACACAGTTGATCCTTTGATACTTGATGAATTCTGCATTGCACAAACAGCTTGGGGCTGATCCAGCCCGGCCTGGAAGGCACACCCCTTTGCCACCACAAGCAGCAGCAGCACTTGCACTAACGGAGGACGAAGGTGCAACAGAGGAGATGCCACAGAAGGCATTGCAAGCTTCCTCTTTCCGCTGCAGCACCAGCGCACAGCTAGTAGGCAGCGTGAAGCAGTTGGCATCAAATGATCGAGCCTGGCATGCCCCCTCCGGCAGAGGTCCGGAGAGGTAGTTGCTGAAGAGACTCAGGCTGCTGATCGCAGGCAGGGGAGAGGTCACTAAGAGAAGAGAGAGGGAGGGGAGGGAGGGGGTTCGGTATGAGTGTGGGAGGAAAGGATTTGTTGGACCAGGGTGGAAAGGAGGGAAGGGGAAACGTGGCTTCAGGATGCATTGTTCTGGATGAGAACAGAACAAAAGGCTATAGGAGAGTGATAACAGAAGGTGGATGTCAAGATTACAGACCAGGTTGTTCAGCAACAAAGCTTGTGAGAAGCACAGTAAGGGCTTACAGGTAGGTGAGGTGCGTGAGCTGGGTGAAGATTTCAGGAATGGCACCATACAGCTGGTTGGAGGCAAGAGACCTGATGCCCATGGTGGGCGGAGCAGACATCCAGATTGAAAACACACCGAGCACACAAGAGGGAAACGTCAACCTTAATGGGACGAAGCGTTTGAGAAGTACAGAGTACAATACATGGCCATGATTGAATGGATCAGGCGTGGCTGTCACATCAAAGGAAGTCATTCAGTGCAATCTATTACGAGAGTTAGTTAGCATGTCACTAAGTAACATCCAGTAGGCCTTGCGCATGGGAAAAAAGTTAGTAGCATGGCATAGCATGCAGGAGTCGCTACGGCTTACAAATAGCACAGTTGATGAAGTTCCCCGATGCGTTCAGGGATCTCCCCATCAAGGAGATTACGCTGCAATGCCCTGCGAATTCAGTTGGCACAAGAAACTGGTCGGACAATCAGATTTTCTGTTCTTGTGAGATCACACACCAGTTTTATTGGAAAGGAAAAGTGCATTGGCAAGGTGGGCAGTGCATTGGCAGGGTGGCAGATAGCGAGCCGTACAAGATTGATAAGTCGGCGATGGAGCTGATGAAGTCAGGGATGGATCCAGAGAACTGGTTGCGAGACAGGGCGCTGATTCATGGGAAGGAGAAGAAGAGATGGGAGGGGAATTGGTAAACAGCTCCCAAGGTAGTGGCAATTGGAGGTTCTTGTTCAGCTTGTGCTTCCAATGTCCTGGTGATGCCTGGATAAACTAAAATCGATGAGCCGAGCCTGGCAAAGAGAGGGGAGAGAGGAAAGGACAATGTAGGAAGGTAACAAGCGGAGGGCAGGAGAACAAGGCCTTACAGGATTTCGAGACTTGAGAGGAAGCTAATGGCCGCTGGAATAGAGCCAGTGAGCTGATTGTTGTCGAGAACCCTATGGAAGAGGAGGGAGTTAGGTGTGCAGACAACAGATAGACAAGGTCAGAAGGGAATGGCCAGAGGAATGGTACAGGCTATCATATGTTCCTTCCAGTAAAAGGGAAGACACATAAGTCAACATGTTACCAATCGGTTGCAGCAGCTTGTCACTGCAAGGAAAATCAGGAGAAACTGTGCTTGTAACATTTTGAATTTGAACAAGATTCAACTGCTTGGAACATTTGAACAAGATTCAAGCAGGCATATGTCTGTTCCATGTGGTAAAGCAGTTTACAAGCTCGTGAGTGCAGTGAGATCTCCTATGGAGGAGGGCACGGATCCTGACAGCTTGTTGGAGTCGAGGTACCTGTTGATAGCAATGGAGAGAAGGAATCGTGGTGACACGAGATGAGCCCGGCTTGGATCCTTATGTCAATGACCGTGGGCCGCCGATTCTATAGACTGGAGAAGAATGAGCGAAGTCGACAATCCAACCTTTTGGACCAGCAAAATTTCTCAAAGTATGCTCAAGTCTTAGTGGGTAAAAGAACCTACTGGGGAATATGAAGCCATAAGTTCTGTAGACTGAAAACTTTGATGAGTTCAAAAACAAATGATCGTGGTTGGGGTGAAATCCAATTGCGACTAGATTTGGGTTTTTGGGTGCGGAACAACAAATGAAGTCTAAACAGAATTCGAAATGGAAAATATAAAGGAGGTTGGGGTGAAATCTTCACAGAAACTACTCTGACCTCCAGCAATTGCTACCCAGAACAGGGACATAATAATTGAATCAAATACTGGGGAGATATAACAGAATTACAGCACGGTGATGGAAACATTGAGGTGAAAATCAGGAATTCAAAAGGGAGAAGGAAAAAGTAATTCATTTCAACGGAGAGTGGGACGAAATGCCTTACAGAGACTCAAGAGGTGCCAAGGTGCCGACAGTGGCAGGGATAGAGCCAGAGAGCTGATTATTGTACAGATACCTTTGGATGTGCAAGGGTCAGACAGAGTATTCACGAGAAATTGAGACAGCATCGGGAAGTGAGATGGGATAAGATAAGAGCGGCAGGGAAAAAACGATAGTGTGACTGGCATTACTAGACTAGTTGCAGTAGTAGAAGAGTCAGCGTGGCAGTGTGTTCCATGGACACAATTTGAAAAAAAAACAAGTTGTACCTTGTGACAACTCATATTACATTGTGAAGTATGATGTAGCAAACACTAGTATGGTTTCTTTGAACACACTCTGTAATTCCCTTGCTCCTTTTTGCACAAATACAATGGCTCTGATTATCATGTAAATGTTTGTTAAGTTAGCCCCTGTAGCACGCGCTCGGGGTGTTTAGAGGTGTATTCTTACAAGGATTTGATGTGACTTAGAGCACTGAAGCTGGCAGGAATGCTGCCTGAAATTTGGTTGGTTGAAAGGTCGCTGAGGACAAAAATTGAAGGCAGAAGTGGAAGGACAAGGTTAACAATGGTGCGATGCAAAATGTATGCAAGGCATGGCGGGGCAAGGCGAATATCACTGTATGCACCACGTGGGTCACAGCGCATTTATCATGGGAGGGAGCAATAGTGATGGAAAGGGAGAAGATTGGTGATTGGAATGGAGAGAAGGGAGGAGAAGGGGCACATTTGGATAGAGGGGAGAAGCACATGGTGCAACAAAGAATCGAGAAGTGAGGAAACAATTGAAATAACACGTACGGCAGATCAATGGAGGCGATTAATACAAACCGAACAAAGCAATGCAGATTTGAGATACTGGCTTGGAAAAAGACAAGACATGTTCGGCTCATCAATGTTTTGAGTATCACAAAATACATGCAATACATGAATTGTAACACGTTGCAGTACACTAATATCTAATCCTTGCATCTGAAAATTCCGATGTTACAATTCATGTATTACCTGTATCTTGCAGAATGGGTTTTGCTTAACATTACAGATTCTATGTTCCCACATACTCTGATCAAATATGCATGGCGCTGCATGAACGATTGCTTGTGTGTATCTCACATGGTTTGATGTGTGCCCGCTTTGATGCATGTATGTGGTTAAAGTGAATGCCATCAACGAAATATTCTGCATAGGGAACAGCGTTGCGGCTGATAGTGCATGCACAATGCAATTGCAGCTCACAGGAATGCCATTTTAGTGAGTCCACCAAATGTCTCAGCAATGCTTCCTGAAAGCTGGTTGCCCGAAAGATCACTGGGAGAACAGCGTTTGGGGTGGAGGAGGAAAACCAACAGTTTGAGAATAAAGATGATGGCAAGAGGAAGCACTGGAGAAACATCTGGAGTGAGGGGGGTGGGGTGCAGTGGACGATACTTTGGTGTGCGTGGGCAAGGACGGGCAGAGATAGCAATGGTGGGCGAGGGTGCGAGCAAAGGAAAAGGAATCGTTGCAACGAGTTGTGGTGGAGAGTGACTGACAGTCTGGTGAGGGCGAGCATGGCACCAATCTCCTCGGGGATGGGACCACTCACTCCAGCTCCTCCCCCAAATGGACCCGCAGCTATGCCTGCTGCTTCTCACACGGTGCGTGGGGCGCCGAGCCCCTTTCTTGGTCAGATCAGCACCATTATAGGTGCTGCCGAAAGAGACATAGTCGGCTTGGGGAGAGCAGCTGCTACACACCTACCTGTCGGCCGCCCACACGACTGTACCCAGAGAAGAGGCAGAGCGGGTGAGAGTGTGGTGGCAGGAAGCCTTGCCTGTGACAGCGACGGAGGGGGGATTTGCGTACCTGGCCTCGGTCGTCTCGGCTGCCCACCTGCTGCGCTCGTTTGGCGATTCGATTCACCCCGCGGTCGCCCAAATCCTGCCGTTGATGGATCCTGCCGTTGATGGATGCTGCGTGAGACGCCTCGCTCACCGTGTCTGAGGCAGAGCTGCCGCCAGACGGGATGGAAGCCTCCAGGTCGGACGGCGGGACCCCAATGGTCCGAAAATTCAGCAGGCAATCTCGCTGGCAGTCCACACCGCGCGGTATATCGAGTTGCTCGATGACTCGCTTGATATGCCCTTGAACCCGCTCTCAGGCCACACGCAGCGCCTGTATTCCCTCCGCGGCCCCGGGGCAGGGAAGGCTGCTAGCACTCCCTCTGATCCCGGCCCTCCGCCTAGGCCCCTCTCAGTTCTCCACTGCAGCCTCCTTCCACCTAGGCCTCCCCCTTCCAGTCCCAAGGAGATTTGACTGTCGGCCGCTACCGCACCACCTTCCCCGATGATCGCCTTCCCAACCACCTCGTGCGTTGTGAGAAAGGCGGGGGGAGGATTGCTACCCATCACGCCCTTCGTGACGAGTGTGTGAAGATTGCAGCCGAGGCGCACAAGGAGTCCACGCTTTACTCACCGGTCGAAAACTTCAAGGCGGATATTTGCATCCGTCATCCCGACACCGGTGAGGTGTGGATGTGCGACATCACGGTGACCGACCCCGACTCCCACCAGGTGGTGAGCTCCCCAACAAGCTACAGGCAATCTAGCTGAGCCCAGCCGGTCCGAACCGAACACGGCCCCTACCACTCATACCCAGCCCCTGCCCGAAAAAATCGCCCGAGGCATTGGCGTCTGACAATGCCCTCTTCGCCAGTGTGGAAGCTTGGGACCTGGCGAAGTTGAGCGATAGTCGACATGCGCCCCTCTCACGCCACCTCCCGAAGGACCTTCGCACATTCTTCACCAACGCTGTTTTAACCCCGCTCTTGCGCCTGGCAAAAGACCCCGACTCGGGGACAGCGTGGACAGTCCTCCTTTTCACCGCGCGCCTGACACTCCGTCAACCATCACCCAGAAAAACCTGGTTGGCCCGCTGTGCGTAAGCGCCTGAGACAATTTCTCGCAGGGGAATGGAACACACTCTACACTGACACCCTGAATTCCCTGTCCAACCCCCAACCGCCAAGACACCAATCAGACGACACCAGGGTGCTTGCCAGAGCTGAGGGCCTTGCCCGACGTGGCAGCCTCAGACGCACAGTTATGGCCCACGCCAGTGTGCACACCCTCGCCTGCCATCCTGGAGGCCCTCCGAGCCAAACACCCTTCAGCCCCTGACACGTCACCCATTGGCCCGCTCCAGTCCCCAATTCTCGCCTTGTCAGCAACGCTCTCAGAACTCCTGAAGATTCTGTCGCGCTGCGAGAAAGGTGTTGGCGGGGGCCCGTCGGGTACCACATTTGAACACATTCGGGACGCGGCCTTGGCCAATCTCTCGGTCGCCTCCCATCTTCACGCGATGGTCAACACCATCCTCATGGGGAAACTTCCCCCGCGCGTGGGAAGCCTCCTCGCAGCTTCACGCTTAGTGGCCCTTTCCAAGCCTGACGGTGGGACGAGGCTGATCGCGATAGGGGAGTGTATCACACGGTTAGCAGTAGAAACGGCGCCTGCGCTGACAGCGGGAGATGCCAGGGATTTCTTCATGCCACAGCAGTTTGGTGTAGCCGTTCCGGGGGGGTGCAGAAGCGGTAATCCACACCGCCCGCGCTTACCTCGCCTCGAACCCCACTGCACTCGTCCTCCAATCTGACCTTGCTAACGCTTTCAACAGCGTTAGTAGGGCCGCCATAGTCACGGCCTTAAGTGGGTCCACTCTGGCCCCTCTGCTGCCTCTGGTTCGGCTCTCATACGGTTCGCCCTCGCTGCCTTACCTAGACGCAGGCTTCGACAACGGGCCTCTGCGTAGCGAGTCAGGGGTCCGGAAAGGGGATCCCATGAGGCCGCTGCTTTTTGCGGCGGCCATTCAACCTGCGTTAAGAGCGGCAGCAGCAGCCTTCCCTTCGGTCATCTGCCTAGCCTATGCCGACGACGTGACTTTCTTCGGGGACTCGGCATCGTGCGTGGCTGCGTTCGCTCACTTCACGAGAAATCTCGGCGCCATAGGCCTGCGCCACAATCCATCAAAGTGCGCCGCCTGGTCACAAGCCGGGCCTGCGGATCTGACCCTCCCCCAAGTGTGCCCTTCTCGATTGGCGGCCTGAAGATTCTTGGCAGCTTCATCGGCGAGGAGCTCTCAACTGCGGAGTACCTGCACTCGGGCCTGGCGTCCATGGCCTCGCCTTTACGGCTCATCTCTCAGATGGAACCCCAGCTAGCCTCACTGCTGCTCTCCCGTTGCATCTCGAGAGCCACGCCATTGACATATCTGCCCGAAGAAGAATGGTCCGGATGGGGCCAGCGGCTGATCGAAACACTACTGACGGCGTGCCACATCCGGCACCCGCGGAGGGAGGTTGAGGTTTCTCGCACCTGATCGAAAGCCTCACTGCCGGTGTCGCTTGGGAGCCTAGGCATCATTAGCATGTATTTCCATTGTATTCATAAAACTTTGTGACCGTTCTTGGCTGAGCTCCACTGAAGAAGCTGAAAGCACCCGCGCATGTCAGAGACAGTGACTTTGCCTTGTTCCTGCCCAACTTGCAGCTGTGAGCACTGAAGGACTAGTGCTCTGCCTTGAGGCACACCTGAAAAAGGAGGTGCATGCACACAGCAAGAGAGAAGGTGAAGAACTGGAAAAAGAAACAGGATCTCACACTGCTGGTATAGTTTCTGGCCTCCCACCCCTCACCTGCACGCTGGTCACGCTGGAAACAGTGGAGCTGGTCGCATGGATGGTGCGAGGGCAGATGAGGCCGGGATTGTTGCGGTAGAGCTCAATCCAGGGGCCCGAACCCACGGACGCGTCCCCACTTAAAGGGCCCACGGAATCATCCTCACTAGACTCCATGCCCTGCAGCAACAGGTCCTCGCACGTGTCCTGTGCTGTGAGCATGCCGTACTGCAAGCACCGAGGAACGGTGAAGGCGAAGGTGGCGTTGCGCTCGAGGCACAGAGAGTGGCCCGCCTTAATGGGCTGGGAGCAGTTCAGTCCGGGATTGAGGGAGGCAAGCTCAGTTTCTGCGAGTCCAATCTGGGCGGTGATAGAGGAGCAGGTGTCACCCTGGGGGGTTGAGTGAGGGAAGAGAAGGTAAGAGATAGGTTGGGGGAATTTTATGGTATGGGGGAGTGGTAAAGTAGCTGAATCTCTGTAAAATATGTATGCTGCTCCGTGGACAATCACAACATAACAAAATGTCATGTGTTGCGTGTATGTTGAGGAGAGGAGATGCATGGTGGATGGTTCTTCTTAGGCATGAGGTTTACAAGAAAACAGTTCATTTTTGTAAGACCTTGACTCTCACATTGAGGACATAGTAGAAGGCAGTGCACGGGGTGGTGGGGGTGCTCCCCAGCCGAATTATTTTGCCCTTAGGCAAAGGCTGGCTGCAGTTAATGCCCTGGAACACAGCGGAGGGTTGATGTGAGGGATCTGAATGCCTGCTACCATTACTCCACTGCAAGAAAAGTACAGTTGTTTGGACAAGATATCACAGCCCCATCTTTATTCTTCAAACCCTTGCCCACCAGTCACCCATCCTTAGGCAACCGTGCCTAATGATTCAGACCCCTTACCATGCTTTGCACTGGAACGCTAGCCAATGCAAGGCCAACAGCAGGAAAGACATCAGAGCACCACCAGTTGGCACCAGTGATATTCAAGGTGGAGGTTGTGGTGTTGGCTGGAGGAAGGAAAGAAGGGGCAAGCAGCGAAGGGAAGTCACAGACAGACAGAAGATGAGTTTATGATGACGTCATGCCAGATTGAAATGGACAGTGCGTTCTAATTAGCAAATGGACCCATCAAATTATCAAATTGCTTAAAATGCATCCGCCTGATAAGTGAAGAGCGTCTCATGAGTAGATGAGGCCAAAATGGTAGCACCTGGGTCGCAGGTGGGGGAGTTGTCAACGGTTCTGCTTTCAACGTAGTTGGGCGGGCAGATGCAGGAGTAGGCGCCCTTGCCATCGTTGATGCATGTGCCCGCAGCGCAGGGGTTGATAGAGTACGAACTGCACACGTCGACTGTTGGGTTGACAGTGGGTTGGATACGTTGGTGAAGGATGGGTTATCCAAGATGAAGCTAAAAATGGAAGTGATATGTCTATGCTACAAAATGTACATTATTATCACAAAATGCCGTAGATGCATCGGCACAGTAAACTTTCAAACCAAGATCAGTGGAATGGGGGTCCAAGACACATGCTGAGCATAAGTAAGAATCACTCACGATATGCACATGTGGTGGAGCCAAATCCATTCGCCACCTCAACAAAAGGCTGCTTGGCCTCGTTGGGAATGGTGCAGTTGCAGATGCTGCTCTTGGTTCTCGTGTTCACGAGGCATGTGAAGCGACCGCAAGGGTTCATAGTTGGCTGCAGATCGCCATCTCTCTTGAAGCTCTTCTGGCCACAAGGGTCCTTGGAAACTGGAAGGTGGGTAGAAAGGACAGGAAAGGTACTGCGATACGATTCACACGACAATCAAGAAAGTGAGCGATTTAAGGTATAGTGAGAGTATGTATGCTGAAGAACTGGATCAGGCACCCTCTCCTTTGAAGTGGATGCAATGGGGTAAAGCACCACCAATGTCAAGATATAAGGAGGTACTCACTCTTGACAATGGGATAGATGCCAGGCAGCACGTTGATGCCACACACGCCATTCGCTCCCTGAATGTCCATGCGCATGTGGCCCCGGTCGCCCCACTCCACTCCCCACGAGTTGCGGATGATCCAAAATGGCACATCCATGGGGCTTTGGCGGGCATTAGTTGTTGAAACGAGGTACCCAACAATGAGTACAGCATGGTTAAGGTTGCCGGTATAGCAGGTAGGATCCTGATACTTCAACGTCTGGGCAGAAGAGTGAGGTGTACAGGAAGACACAGATACAGGTACATGAGTCACGCAGCCACCTGTATGGGTTCAATATGGCACCTGTGATGACAATAAAGCTCCCCACGAGTTGCGGATGATCCAAAACGGCAGATCCATCGGGCTTTGGCGGGTATTAGTTGTTGAGACGAGGTACCCAACAATGAGTACAGCATGGTTCAGGTTGCCAGTAAAGCAGGTAGGATCCTGATACTTCATGGTCTGGGCAAGGGAGTGACGTGAAGGTTACAGAAAGACACAGATACAAGTACTTGAGTCAGGCAGCCACCTGTATGGGTTCGATATGGCAATTGTGATGAGAATAAAGCAGTAGTATCATTCAAAGCTAATATCAAGTTTCCATAAGAGCCATCAGCTACTTAGTGATGGAACAGGACGCCCTCACCACAAGACATGTTCTCAAGGACTGTCAGCAATCACGAGAAAGCCCACAAGAATGCATGATTAGGATGATCATACGATCAGTACCCACCCCGTCGTATTCGATGAACGTGGCAGCAGACGCCTCGATATGAACCACCACTGGCTGCCGCTGCACTGCCAGCAGGAGTCCCACATACCCCTTGAACCGCGTGCGCTCAAAACCCTGAATAGGGAACTTTGTTGGCTGCGGATCAAGAACACACAAGTAGTTGGAAGTCAATGGACAAACTTAGAAGAAGACAAAACGTCGCAAGGAGGGAGACAATCATAGTGTATGTACTGGCGAGTAGCATCTCGATATCTCTATCTCTCAGGCATATATTTTTTCCTACCCGCTTGCCATCTGTTGTGAGGCCACCACGGGGAAGGGTGAGAAGCTTTGCAAAGGCCACGGCAGGAGAGCCCCCTGCCATGCATTTGGCTGCTGGAGAAGTGAGCCCCATGGCTGCAAAGAGTGAGTCCACTGACAGCTGCGGTGCCTGTTGATTCAATGCAATGCCGTATGCTGCTTCCACACTCGCCACCACCGCATACGCCCAGCTTGCATCTGAAAAGGGTGGAAGGAGGTGCAGGTAGGGCTTCAGAAGGATCCATTCCTAACAGAATGCAAACGATTCTGTTTACTAGCCTCTCTCATCCGTAATAACCCAGTCACACATAAGTCACAAAACATCACAGATATGATATGCCCACACCTGCAAATTCTGGTATTTTTCTCATCCACACTCACTGCAGTCCTTCTGGTTCTTGACCGGCCAGCCGAGGAAGGGCATGGAGTCCCAGGAGTGGGAGCCGCTGACTTGCCACGGGTCGAGCTGGTTGGCGGACACTCGGTAGTCGGCACTCATGTACCGCATGAAGGGACTGGCTCCCACTGGCGCATACGACGCCACAGAGAGAGTCAGGCCAAAAGCTGGATATAGCACAAGATTTGGGCAGACAAAGTGGTGGAGATGGGAAGGGATGTGGGCGCATGCGCACATATGGATGTGTTTCTCTGTCTGGTTTGTTCTTAAGATAGAATGGTGGTGAAAGAGAGAGTGCGAGAGCGCTTTTTATGTACCTCATCAACAATGGGATTGTTCAATACTGGGGCAAGAAAAAAAGACATGAATGATATTTATGTGGAGCTCATTGAGCTTTGATGTACGGGGATACTGTGTTGAAGCAGGCATACATATTCCCATCCTCCATGCCCTTTTTACCTGGAGTGATGTTTACGGGATCCGGTGAGGCAGGAAGGCCTGCATGGACATATTAGGAGCACGAAGAGACCATGGCGATGATGTGGTGTTGAGATATTATAGGAAGCATACTAGGAAGCACTCAACAGGTTGAGGCAGGATGACCACAACCATCGCACTGTTACAGACCAAGAGCCACAGCCGTGGGCACGGACAACCCATGGATAGTAGTCGCTAGCAACATGTGGTTATCCTAGTTAAAACCAACCATCATGATCATGAAATATCACCATCATCACCATCACTATCATCATCACCATCACTATCACCATCATAATCACCATCACCATCATAATCACCATCACTATCACCATCACCATCACCATCATCATCATCATCATCATCATCATCATCATCATCATCATCATCATCATCATCATCACCATCACCATCATCATCACCATCATCATAACCATCATCATAATCATCATAATCATAATCATAATCATCATCATCATCATCATCATCATCATCATCATCATTGTTGTTAGGTACTTATTTAGCAGGCATATGTCTGTTCCATGTGGTAAAGCAGTTTACAAGCTCGTGAGTGCAGTGAGATCTCCTATGGAGGAGGGCACGGATCCTGACAGCTTGTTGGAGTCGAGGTACCTGTTGATAGCAATGGAGAGAAGGAATCGTGGTGACACGAGATGAGCCCGGCTTGGATCCTTATGTCAATGACCGTGGGCCGCCGATTCTATAGACTGGAGAAGAATGAGCGAAGTCGACAATCCAACCTTTTGGACCAGCAAAATTTCTCAAAGTATGCTCAAGTCTTAGTGGGTAAAAGAACCTACTGGGGAATATGAAGCCATAAGTTCTGTAGACTGAAAACTTTGATGAGTTCAAAAACAAATGATCGTGGTTGGGGTGAAATCCAATTGCGACTAGATTTGGGTTTTTGGGTGCGGAACAACAAATGAAGTCTAAACAGAATTCGAAATGGAAAATATAAAGGAGGTTGGGGTGAAATCTTCACAGAAACTACTCTGACCTCCAGCAATTGCTACCCAGAACAGGGACATAATAATTGAATCAAATACTGGGGAGATATAACAGAATTACAGCACGGTGATGGAAACATTGAGGTGAAAATCAGGAATTCAAAAGGGAGAAGGAAAAAGTCATTCATTTCAACGGAGAGTGGGACGAAATGCCTTACAGAGACTCAAGAGGTGCCAAGGTGCCGACAGTGGCAGGGATAGAGCCAGAGAGCTGATTATTGTACAGATACCTTTGGATGTGCAAGGGTCAGACAGAGTATTCACGAGAAATTGAGACAGCATCGGGAAGTGAGATGGGATAAGATAAGAGCGGCAGGGAAAAAACGATAGTGTGACTGGCATTACTAGACTAGTTGCAGTAGTAGAAGAGTCAGCGTGGCAGTGTGTTCCATGGACACAATTTGAAAAAAAAACAAGTTGTACCTTGTGACAACTCATATTACATTGTGAAGTATGATGTAGCAAACACTAGTATGGTTTCTTTGAACACACTCTGTAATTCCCTTGCTCCTTTTTGCACAAATACAATGGCTCTGATTATCATGTAAATGTTTGTTAAGTTAGCCCCTGTAGCACGCGCTCGGGGTGTTTAGAGGTGTATTCTTACAAGGATTTGATGTGACTTAGAGCACTGAAGCTGGCAGGAATGCTGCCTGAAATTTGGTTGGTTGAAAGGTCGCTGAGGACAAAAATTGAAGGCAGAAGTGGAAGGACAAGGTTAACAATGGTGCGATGCAAAATGTATGCAAGGCATGGCGGGGCAAGGCGAATATCACTGTATGCACCACGTGGGTCACAGCGCATTTATCATGGGAGGGAGCAATAGTGATGGAAAGGGAGAAGATTGGTGATTGGAATGGAGAGAAGGGAGGAGAAGGGGCACATTTGGATAGAGGGGAGAAGCACATGGTGCAACAAAGAATCGAGAAGTGAGGAAACAATTGAAATAACACGTACGGCAGATCAATGGAGGCGATTAATACAAACCGAACAAAGCAATGCAGATTTGAGATACTGGCTTGGAAAAAGACAAGACATGTTCGGCTCATCAATGTTTTGAGTATCACAAAATACATGCAATACATGAATTGTAACACGTTGCAGTACACTAATATCTAATCCTTGCATCTGAAAATTCCGATGTTACAATTCATGTATTACCTGTATCTTGCAGAATGGGTTTTGCTTAACATTACAGATTCTATGTTCCCACATACTCTGATCAAATATGCATGGCGCTGCATGAACGATTGCTTGTGTGTATCTCACATGGTTTGATGTGTGCCCGCTTTGATGCATGTATGTGGTTAAAGTGAATGCCATCAACGAAATATTCTGCATAGGGAACAGCGTTGCGGCTGATAGTGCATGCACAATGCAATTGCAGCTCACAGGAATGCCATTTTAGTGAGTCCACCAAATGTCTCAGCAATGCTTCCTGAAAGCTGGTTGCCCGAAAGATCACTGGGAGAACAGCGTTTGGGGTGGAGGAGGAAAACCAACAGTTTGAGAATAAAGATGATGGCAAGAGGAAGCACTGGAGAAACATCTGGAGTGAGGGGGGTGGGGTGCAGTGGACGATACTTTGGTGTGCGTGGGCAAGGACGGGCAGAGATAGCAATGGTGGGCGAGGGTGCGAGCAAAGGAAAAGGAATCGTTGCAACGAGTTGTGGTGGAGAGTGACTGACAGTCTGGTGAGGGCGAGCATGGCACCAATCTCCTCGGGGATGGGACCACTCACTCCAGCTCCTCCCCCAAATGGACCCGCAGCTATGCCTGCTGCTTCTCACACGGTGCGTGGGGCGCCGAGCCCCTTTCTTGGTCAGATCAGCACCATTATAGGTGCTGCCGAAAGAGACATAGTCGGCTTGGGGAGAGCAGCTGCTACACACCTACCTGTCGGCCGCCCACACGACTGTACCCAGAGAAGAGGCAGAGCGGGTGAGAGTGTGGTGGCAGGAAGCCTTGCCTGTGACAGCGACGGAGGGGGGATTTGCGTACCTGGCCTCGGTCGTCTCGGCTGCCCACCTGCTGCGCTCGTTTGGCGATTCGATTCACCCCGCGGTCGCCCAAATCCTGCCGTTGATGGATCCTGCCGTTGATGGATGCTGCGTGAGACGCCTCGCTCACCGTGTCTGAGGCAGAGCTGCCGCCAGACGGGATGGAAGCCTCCAGGTCGGACGGCGGGACCCCAATGGTCCGAAAATTCAGCAGGCAATCTCGCTGGCAGTCCACACCGCGCGGTATATCGAGTTGCTCGATGACTCGCTTGATATGCCCTTGAACCCGCTCTCAGGCCACACGCAGCGCCTGTATTCCCTCCGCGGCCCCGGGGCAGGGAAGGCTGCTAGCACTCCCTCTGATCCCGGCCCTCCGCCTAGGCCCCTCTCAGTTCTCCACTGCAGCCTCCTTCCACCTAGGCCTCCCCCTTCCAGTCCCAAGGAGATTTGACTGTCGGCCGCTACCGCACCACCTTCCCCGATGATCGCCTTCCCAACCACCTCGTGCGTTGTGAGAAAGGCGGGGGGAGGATTGCTACCCATCACGCCCTTCGTGACGAGTGTGTGAAGATTGCAGCCGAGGCGCACAAGGAGTCCACGCTTTACTCACCGGTCGAAAACTTCAAGGCGGATATTTGCATCCGTCATCCCGACACCGGTGAGGTGTGGATGTGCGACATCACGGTGACCGACCCCGACTCCCACCAGGTGGTGAGCTCCCCAACAAGCTACAGGCAATCTAGCTGAGCCCAGCCGGTCCGAACCGAACACGGCCCCTACCACTCATACCCAGCCCCTGCCCGAAAAAATCGCCCGAGGCATTGGCGTCTGACAATGCCCTCTTCGCCAGTGTGGAAGCTTGGGACCTGGCGAAGTTGAGCGATAGTCGACATGCGCCCCTCTCACGCCACCTCCCGAAGGACCTTCGCACATTCTTCACCAACGCTGTTTTAACCCCGCTCTTGCGCCTGGCAAAAGACCCCGACTCGGGGACAGCGTGGACAGTCCTCCTTTTCACCGCGCGCCTGACACTCCGTCAACCATCACCCAGAAAAACCTGGTTGGCCCGCTGTGCGTAAGCGCCTGAGACAATTTCTCGCAGGGGAATGGAACACACTCTACACTGACACCCTGAATTCCCTGTCCAACCCCCAACCGCCAAGACACCAATCAGACGACACCAGGGTGCTTGCCAGAGCTGAGGGCCTTGCCCGACGTGGCAGCCTCAGACGCACAGTTATGGCCCACGCCAGTGTGCACACCCTCGCCTGCCATCCTGGAGGCCCTCCGAGCCAAACACCCTTCAGCCCCTGACACGTCACCCATTGGCCCGCTCCAGTCCCCAATTCTCGCCTTGTCAGCAACGCTCTCAGAACTCCTGAAGATTCTGTCGCGCTGCGAGAAAGGTGTTGGCGGGGGCCCGTCGGGTACCACATTTGAACACATTCGGGACGCGGCCTTGGCCAATCTCTCGGTCGCCTCCCATCTTCACGCGATGGTCAACACCATCCTCATGGGGAAACTTCCCCCGCGCGTGGGAAGCCTCCTCGCAGCTTCACGCTTAGTGGCCCTTTCCAAGCCTGACGGTGGGACGAGGCTGATCGCG